CCCATGGCTACCCCCACCCTCCCCCCCGCCCTGGTCTCAGAGCTTTGGGGGCTCATGCAGACCTCCCCACGTGACACGGGACAGCAGGGATCGCCCCCTGCCCGGCAGCACCTGGTGAGCACCAGGGCTTTTTTTTTACAAGAGCCAGGAGCTGGGGTAGGCGGGGCAGCCATTGCCAGGCTGGGAGAGCAGGCGGGGGATTCAGCCAAATCAAATCAGAACAGTGATTCGAATTATCGAATCATTGAATTGAATCACTGTCCCCCTCAAATCGGCTGAATCCAAATCCAAAGCGAATACTAGCCATTTCGCACAGGCCTAACACATACCTTTTCATCCTGCAACACACTGGAGATCCAGCAGGTCGGAGCAGACTCAATTAATAAAGTCTGCTCCACACACGAGCTGACACACACTGCGCTGCTTTGGATGCAGTTGTATAAGTGGCAAAATGTGAATCAGTGCGCAGACAATGGTGGCAGTGCACTTTTGAACTAAAACACCTCCACTGTGTTTTATTTAACAAATGCACTGCTGCCATTTTCTCAGTGCTGACAAGCATTTTGCAGCTTATACAACTGCATGTGCTGCAGCGCCGAGCGCTTTTAAAAGCGCCTGGCACTGCGACACAAGCATGTATACAAATGCCTATCACTAATCTTATTTGAGCCACGAAAATAATCTGATTTAACTAACTAACTAAGTGCAGCTTTGTGTGTAGGCACTGCCATTGCTTTTAAACCTTGCTTATGTGGAGGGGCAAGCTAAAGTAACGTAACCAGGTTTCAGCTGATATCCTACCTGTAAGTAAGACCATGTTAATGACAGATCCTTGTTAACTGGATATTTAGGCCCCATATGGAAATTCTCAGTTTTCATTTAAGAAATATAATAGTCTAATCCAGCAGTTCCCAAACCAAGGGTCACAGAATTTATGAGTGCAGTCATGATCCCTACAGATCCCCAAAGTCTCCTAAATGGGGCAATTATACCATGTACCCACAATTAACCTTCTTACCATACTCCAGCTGCTTATTGGTAACTGGGCCTGTGCCACTATATACCCTGAGGTAAATGAAAGCGAAACTGGGCAAATTATCCCTGTTTCATTCATGGATAAATTATTTCAGAGTTAAGTTTTTACTGCGGGGTTAGAATAGGAATAGTTACCCCAGAGCAGCTGAGGCATGGTAAATCCCCAACTGTACCTCTTAATTGCAGGCACATGAACAGTTAGCACTTTATGGGCTCCATTAAATTATTGGTATCTAAGTAAGACCACAACCAAAAAAAAGTTGGGAACAGCTGGTGTAGACCTTTCCCTTGAAAATATCAAGTAGTATGAACTAGCTAGCACTGGAAGGAACAAGCAGTTGGGTTGCACCGAAGCATCAAGATATCTTCTGGGTAGCAGGACCTTTGGATTTCCTAGAGCCTTGTGGGACCTTTCCAAGAAGGTAGATGCAGTTGTGGATATTACAACAGGCATAATTCCCTTTTGTGAGGGAGTCTACATACAACTGCAGAAAATCTTTGGGAAATGCTTCCAGTCCAAAGGAAGCAATCAACCCAAAAGTCTAGATAGGAATACTCAGAGCAATTCAAGAGGGATCATGGAGGGGTAGCTTAAGGCTGTATCCTGTGACCTCTGCTAGTACCAGATGAGTTCCTGGCATAAATTAGAATATATGAATGCTGCTATAATTAATTTGGGGATATGAAAAAAGGACATTTTCCAGAAGACCAAACCTGTGCAATTTTAAATAGGTATTGGGACCTTTATAGCTGCTTTAAATGGGCAGCCAAACATTTATCCAGAGTAAGGGAATCAATCCTCAGCTGGTATAAAATTGTCTGACTTATACAGAGGAGTTCCTATTGCCACAGGTAAGAGGTTCTGGCAGTGGGATAGGAGGCAGTATTCAAATTACACTTTGACTTTTGGGGAAGTCTGCAAAAAAAATTAAACCAGTTCATTGATTAGCAAGTCCACGTAAGTGAAGGAGCAATCCAATTAGAGATCCCCACAGGTTATGATTTTCAAATCTTATGGGGGGGGCTCCCGTCTCCTATGGAGAGCTCAGCCACTCTCCCTCCTCCCCCCCCATCCCTGAGCTCCCCCTTAATTTGCACCCTGATAAGAGATAACACACTTTAGACATGAGCCATAGAAAGGTTAGAAAAATGCTGAAGGCACAGTCCTGTTGCCTTCACATTGTTAGCCTAGCCGGCCAGGGCCACATGGTAGAATCAGCTGCATCATCCTCAGATATGATCTAATGTACATACTCCTGGCCACAGGGGATTGCCAGTAAAGGACTCTTGTGTCTCCTGGAGTTACCTCTGGGGAAAAGCAGCTCAGCACAAGTCAAGGTGCTAATTAGTCTGGCTAGCAAGTCATACAAATTGTATTTCATTCTTCAAAGATAATGAAATTTCTCACTGATGACTTCATTTTGGTATCTGTTACCCCACTGTAATGGACACCCAGGTCTCTAAACTACCATCATTCCTGTGTCTATAAGTCAGTTTACCTACTAGGAAGAAAATTATATAGTTTTTGTTTGTTTTAACTATTCATTAGCAGCTGGAACTGGGCAACTTTGTTAAAAATGAGCAAGCAAAGAGTGAATTCTCAGTATGAAGCATGTGTCCTTCACAGAAAAGAGTAAGAAAAATGGTGGCATCAATATGTTTTCACATTTTAAATGGAAATGAATACCAGTTCTTAATAAGATACATAATGCAGCTTTGCTTGTTTTTAATTGATTAACTATTTTCCTTGAACTTCACTGATGATTTCAGTCCTGTCAAAACAA